TCCTAAATCTTTCTGAGCTGCAAAATGAACATCATTTCTTTTGTTTTCAAAGAACTGATTTATGTCATATTAGCACCATTATATCATTTTAGTTTCATTCGTTGCCAACTAGTGCATATTATGAAAAAATTATTTTAAAAAATTAAAAAAATATACTTGAGTTTTCTCATTTTAAAATTTTCATTCAGTATCAATTTACTCATCCTGTTCTGAATCCTCGAATTAGACTAATTTTACTGATAACCAATCAGATAAATCATTAAAGTAATATAAACGGCAAGTGAACAATTATTAAAATTAGTGTATAAAATTCGATATACTGTAACGTTGCTTAAACTTGTCCGATTAAGAAGATTTTTTTGTAGTTTTGTCGAAAAATTAATAATTTTTTTAAAATGTTACCTGTACATACTATAGAAATATTACTGTAATTTTTCAGAATGGGAAAACATAATCAAATCCCGAATGAAAAAATGGAACAGTTAAATGCAAAAGTATGTTGGTTATGCCAATTCTTTACATTTAGTAACTAGAATTGACTAGTATTAGTAATTTTATTTCCTTAACGTTTTTATTTATTAGTTTTTAATTTATTTTTTTAAATTTTATTTGTTTATTTTTTTTATCGTTATTGGTCTTGGCCTTGCAAAGTGTAAGACCAAGACAGCTTTTGGTCAAAACTAAATGAATCTTAATTTTTTCCTAATAAATCTCAACTTAATTAATATGGATTTAAAACTTATTTAACGAGCCAGTTTTTCTAAAAGCGGAATATCTGCAGTATTGTTAGAAGGTGATGAAAAAATCGCAAATAATTTGTGATTTTTTTTATTCGGAACTTGGCCGAATTTATCAGCTCAATAGTCGTCTTTAAATGGTTTAAAAAATGACAATATCTACTTTTATTTGAAATTTGTTTTATCTTATTTACTCTGGAGCAATTGTTAATTAATTAAATGTAATATTTTTTTATTTATGTTTCACTTCAACAAAAATATAACAATTAAAGAAAACACAAATCTTGAATTTCCTACTTTTCGACTGGAAATTGGGCCATTGTTTATATAAACTTGTTTGTAAATCTTGATGTCTACTATCAACAACATGAATATTTCGAAACTTGTTTGCTCAGTTCAGATGAAATTATCTGAAATTCCTATAGATTTTTTTTTCTAGACAGACCGATTTTTATTATTTCCCGTGTTATTACATTATTGCGCGTCTATATATTCTCCTCATTATAAAGTTAGAAGGTTGAGATTTCGTATGATTGCGTTGTTGTTGGAGAAGTGCCTTTTGAGGGCCTCATCGCCTTTCGCCATTTTAATTCAAGATGGCGGTGGGAATCTCAGCAAAGCTGTTTCAAGTAAATTACATTTATTCCTATATTCCCGATTTTTTCAAAAGTATCTCCGTAAATGTATGTTGTAATTTCTTTAACCTTATTTATTATGCCCTCGGGCAGTGGAAGGAATTTGTTACATGTATATATTGTATTATTGTATACTATATATGTAATTTGTTTCAATAAATATTTTGGAGGGTAAGAAAAAAAAAAAACCTTATTTACATAATTATCAAGATAGAGGTGAGCCTATTATTATGTGTGTACCTGATTCAGTGAGAACAATAAACATTAAACAGACCTGAGAAATGCAACAAAAGGCCATAAAATGTATCTGAGATATAGTACTAGGAACATCTTACAGAAGACATAAGAATCAAACCATATATGAAACTGGGGATATGGAAAAAAATACAATAATAAAAACTTTATTTATATCATTACAAGACTATATTTAATATACGTATATGTTGCATGAGCTGGCATGTAATTAAAATATGTTTTACATTATCTATTTCCAATTAAATAGTTCTCTATTTTTTTTATGGTTTTACCTTACCTGAGATTACTTAATAATAATCATCTTACGTGGAAGATATTAGAAATAGTACGAGACGATAAAGATGAGTAAATGGTATATTTAAAACTAATCAGTGGGCCCTTGAAGGGGAAAACAGGAGGGGTAATGTAACGAAGTGATGAATCTTTAAAAGACCCTCATCGCCTAAGTGCACCCTCAGGGCTTAAGATTCCTCAACAATTCCACCGGAGCTAAGGCAAATAGTGTTATGTAAGTCCCGAGGGATCATAAGGAAAACTTTTGTTTTGTCTTAGTTACATAAATCCGTGCTATAATTTAATTATTAATTAGTTTCTATATTTCTCTTAAGTCTGATATCTTATAAGTATATTACATTTAGCATTCCTGCGAAATTATCACGTTATTAGGCTACAATAAATACATTTTTCCTCTTAATTTATTTTCTAGTTCACACTTGTCGATTCTTAATTTTTGTCTATATTATTTCATCATCGAAGTCCGTGATGCAGATAAAGAGTTCATCCTATAAAATAAAAAAAACAATAATGCCCAGAAAAATATCTCCAAATATGGTATCATTCCATTTTGCATAAATATGCATATAATTTATTTTTTATGGAATGTTTGTTTTCAGTGACTCAACTGTGAAATAAAGAAAATTATAGAAATTTATTTTAAAATAATAATAATTAGGTTGCGGAGGTACGTGATTAATATGAAAATAATAAAATATATACAAACGGAATCGATTTTTGAAGGAACCGGATCCAGTAAAATATTGAATTGAATTGAAAAAAAAAAATTGAATTTTTTTTCGTAGATATTTTTTTTATAAAGTTAGGTTCTACAGGTAGATGTCGCAACACCTAAGCTAGAATCTGCTTAAAAAGTTATTAATCTTCAACGTTTCCAACTCCATTCGTAATTCCTACTTATATCATCGGCCTCCTTTCGTTTGTTCTGTATGTACACCAATACGATTTCAAAAGAATAATAACAGTTGTCAATGTTGTGGATATATGTGTTCCATTTAAGGAAAATAGGTTTTATTTTTTTGAATTGAAAACTTTTTTAGGCGAATTTTGCACTTTTTTGTGGAGATTTCCGAGGCGTAAAGCTCGGGTAAAGTCGGTTGGAGTCGACTAATTGTTGTTTCATATGGCTTAGAATATCTCAACAACTAAAAATCGGATCATTTCATCATCTTTATAATGAGCCATTATTTATGATTTGTATTTCCTATTATTAATCTCGCCTTGTTGATGTTTTCACTTCTATCGTGTGCTCTAAAGCACACACCTTAGTCTTTTTTTATGTAAGACTTTAGTTAGACGCCATTAGTCGGAAAATATGTTTTCATTTGCTGCAGTTATCGTTGCTCGTATGCGTGAAGGAAAAGTATATCTGGCCTAGTGATATATTTGGCTACTGAAATGGAATGTGACAACGCAAGTCATTTACACAGGAGAAAAGATGAGCAGAAGAGAGATATGAACCCTGAAAAACTTTTAATATATTTATATATCTTTTACAGTAATCAATATAGGTGAAACGAATGTGTAACATATTGCATAATAAAAATAAATACCTGCATTTAGTGACTGATATGTCAGTAGTTGTTACCTTTACCCCTTAAACAGTTACGCAACAACCCTAGTTCGGTCTTGGAGTAACGTTAAAATACCAAGAAATTATCATAAATCGAAGAAAAACTGCTCAATTATTCAAATATCTAAAACCCCCTCTTCCATCCCAGATTTCTTTCGTAACACTATTAGGATGTTTATTTTGTATAATGGAGCCCTGAAGATAGCAATATTGAATATCGAATCCGTGGGAAAAGAGGATTTCTGAGAAGGCCTGGGAGAGGAATTAAGTTAGGCAGAGGCGGGATCAATATTTATTAGGGTCGCCAAAATGAGGGCTGTCTAAACACTCTGAGGGTATCGCCAACAAAGTCCCCTATTATTGTTGGGGATTTTAAAACTGAACATCTTGGGCGATTATGTCGGTTGTAAGTGAGCCGTATAGAATGTTATTCCAGAGAGTAGGGGAACACAATTTATCCATTATGGATTTAAATCAGAGAGGATCGTCTATTATGTGAGATAACAAGGGCTAATGGGTTTCGGACTGAGGGATGCCCTAATCTCGGCTTCCATTGAGGCGAAAGATATCAACGTCCATCTCCTCTACTGTTGTTCTGTTGTCCTCGTATGGTTTATTAATTAGCGACTAGCCCTGTACAAACATGACCCCTATCCTCTGCCTCTATTATCTAAGCTTATGTCACTCCTCTTGGTAATGACCATGGTAACACCAACCTAGTCTGCCAATTGTGGTTCATTGCTTACTCCGCTTCCACATTGTGGTTTCTGTTTGCTTTACCTATTGTGAATTTACACTGGTTGTTTAGCTCTAATTAAATGATTCTTACTCTAAGCTACTTATATTTTTCGATTAAAGGATCTTTTTCAGCTATGAAGTTTTAAAGATTTGCAAATCTAATCTCCTTCAAAAAAAAAATTTAAAGAATAATTTTCTCTATAATTTTAAGTTAAAAATTAACATAGTTTTATTATACTATGATAACTATTTTTTTCCCTTATCACTTTCGATTTTTTTGAATATCCATATATCAATATCTTTGTCAAAGCGTTCGGAGACCCTTGGAATATACAATGTTGGGGTAGAAAAACTTGTCTTGTTTCCCTTAAGTCTAAACATACAACTGTTCCGAAAGTTAATGACAAATATTCATTAGTCAGTGCATTTAGAATTTAAAAATATTTAAAGATTTAATCGTCAAAAACTTTTCTATCGAATCCTGTCTTAAGTTCTTGCAGGATTCTATCTTTCGAATTCATTTATACATTATCCAATCCAGCGAGTTTACAACTTAATTTCAAACCAATCGTGTTAAAATGTTTTTAATGATTTGTTATTGGTATCTACCTTATTATTGGCTACATTTTGATCCATATAATCATTCTTGGTGCCCTAAAGTCCCTTGAGGTTTGGAAAACGTTTAAGGGTTGCCGAAGTTAAGAGGAGAGTAAAGACGCCGACGAAGAGCTTAACCTGGCCATTATTCTGGATTCCGCTGAAGTGGTTATGGACAGAGATCGACTGCTGAGGTGGTGGCGTTGGTACTTGGCGGAGAGGATTAGAGAGGCCACACAAGGAGCTCTAATTGAGGCAAGAGTAATCCTTTTAGCCCGAGGTTCAAGTACCACAACGGGCGGTTCCCCTACCACGATGGGAGGGAGGGAGGGAGGTTCGTAGTCAAAAGAACACGTTAGGGGATCCTGTTTTCTTTCCATCCTTCTCTCCCAGAGATTTATTGAGGCCTTTTGTGAAGCCGCCTACTCCCACCAATGGCTGCGGTAAAATGCACCAATGCAAAAAAGCATTCAGCAAATAATAAAAATCCTCAATCCGTTATTAGCATGGTTTTACTCCGTTTGATTATATATTTCTCCCTGCTTTGAGATATAAATAAATTTTATATATATTAATTTCAACACTAAAGTCAACAGATAAATTGATTTCTCAATTTCCTTTGAACATAAAAAAATGAAGTATTGTATTACATGGCTTTTTTCTAGACCCAATTAGAACTTACGGAATATCACTTTGGTGTTCTGAAAAGTTAAGTATTATTAAAAAAACAAATATAATAGTTCTTCACATACCAATGTATGTTAAATTAGACTAGACTCATTTTACTCATAACTTTCCCTATATATTAACATCATCCCAACCCACTTTTTAATCTATTTTTTAATCTCTGTCAAGTGGAATTTGTAGGTGCCATTTAATGCTCACCCGAGACTCAATTTTATCATCAATTTTTTAAAGATTAACAATTTTTTTTTAATAAATCCGAATAAATAAGAAATTTTCTTATATTCGCTATTAGAGAGTAGAAAAATAAAATAAAAAAAATTTTCATACGTCCATTTATGTGTGGGCTATAAGCTAAATACTTAAACAATCGCGATATATTTCGTTTTTTAAACCATAATGCATATTCATGTCCTGAATCTAAGTACATATCAAGAAAAAAATATTTCTAAAAATATTAATCCTGTAAATTTTTTTTTTTTTTAATCTACTTTAACATCGTTTCATATAGATATTTTTTTTTATTTTCTTCCAGAGTCAATAATTAAAATTAGTTATTAAAACAAAAAAAAAAAGAAAATTAAGCCCTGGATCTGCTACTATCTTGACAAAGTTTTACCATCAAGTTTCAACCGGGCCTGTAGACTTTCATTCTCATTCATTTCTTGCAGTCTATGCATCCTGGGTTCAAGGTACCTTTAGATTTAGCGCAGCTTTTGCTACTTTGCCGTTTGGTAACCTTGCTGTCGTTTCCAACCTTGTGTATAATTGTATATAAGATAGGAACATCATGTGCTTTTATACTTATTATTCACTCTTGCAACAGGTTTTCTAGATTCATCCGAAACCTTTGCAGTACGCCGGATCAGCTTTTCATTATAATAACTTGTCTTTGTTCTCGCTAAAATTTAGAAATTATCTATCTTTTGTTATTTGAAAAAGAATATTATAATTGATATAGTTGTATTTAATCCAAAAAATTGTTCCGCTTTTATAATTGTTAAATGTTTGTTTCTTGAATCCGATTTACATAGTTTCCGAAAGTTTTGTATTCATGTATATTTTAATCCATACACATGCACTAGTCGCTTAGAGATGACAGTCCACATTTTCTTATTCTTAGATTTAAATCTACACTCATCGATTCCTGATAACCCTCAGAGGCGTCTGAAAAGAAGATGGCCTCGTGATCTCCTTATATAGACATATTATTAGAGTGCTACCAGTAGGTAGTTTCTCTACAAGCGTTTTCATGTGATTGTATTCCTGTGTACACATTTACTTGATGTATTTATATTGTAATACAGTTGTAAATATCTTGAATAAATAGTTTTAAAAAAAAAAACATTTACACTCGTTTCCATACAAAAGATGACCATTGCGGGTAATTGTAATTCGAATATTTTTTGTAGAAGTTGGGCATATATTGTTTTTTAAAAGATTCGGAAAAATTATAAGGTATATTAATAAAGTTAAGTAATACTCTCTCAAAAAATTTGTCTTTATTTTTATGACCTTTCGGGATCTACTTTATTATCCCATCTTCAGACCGTTTCTCATATTTTTATCATCTATTTTTTTTTTAAAAAGACGTCTTAATTTTTATTTTTATAAATTATACCTTAGTTTTATTGTGGACTCCTCTAAAATGGAAGCTAGTCAGACATTGTTTCTGTGCGACTAATGAACAAATTATAATGATTAGTATTTATTTGGATTATCAGATTTTGTCAAATCGACGCGGTAACTTATGGATTAATGTTAATTTTTCAACTTTAAGATTTTTAAATGGCCTTATTAAATAATTTAAGCAGATCAAGAAAAGACTCCAAAAAAGTACAACTAACCGATATCCACTTTGCTATTGATAATCTTTAGGATTTAACTATCTATTTTAGTTTGGGCAAATCGTTATGAATATTTTACGGCATAAGCGTCAAACCTTCCGATTTGTTTAACTTTAGCGACACTTTTATTGTCCTCAATGATTTGAGGCATATGTAATTTCTTTTAGTAACTTTAAAAAAAAAAAAATTGTTATCTATAAGCTGTTGCAGAGTCGAGGATTGTAAATGTTGTTTTCACCAGTGAGTGATGGTAGTGCCTTTGTTGGCTATAGTTTCTGCTCAATTGCAGCGGAACTTCACAAAGCAGTTTCCACACTGGGTCCTAATCTTTGTCCAAACGAAAGTTGTCCGTAGCGGTGGATATTAAGCCAGCTAACACGGGCCAGCGTATCGAATTCCATTTAGCCGCAGCCGCAACTATTATTAAAGGGTTTCCCCGGAGTTTAGGGGTTAGGGGAGCGTTGCAATATTGAGAGCCTGCATAGAGGCCGAGCAGAAGTTAGTGCTAACATACTAAGAGGTTAAGCCATTGTTGTACGGGCCGATTGTCACCGACATAGATGTTGGCTTCATTGAAACAGATTACTCCCAAGTTATCCCCGAGCGGGGGTTGAATTTTTCATCGACTCAGGCGAGGCGTAGGGAAGAACAATCGGAACTGGGGTGTGTTTTGAAACCAAATAAGGTCGGTTGTTGGCAGAGGGTAATAGAATAATCCCGGGGCTGCTTCGTCAAACAACCGAATTATTGCTCTCTTTCTCCTTTAGTTACTGCAAAATCACTTCATCTAGTTCAATAGCTCCTTGTTTCAGTTTAACCATGCAATTGTTTTAATGATTTGATTCCATTTTATTCTTTCTTTTCCATCAAATCTTTTTTATTTATTGTTCCTCTTATTAAGAAATTTGAGATAATGAACTTATGTGTTGGTCAATAGTTGGTAGCTGTAAGTCTGTATCTAAAGTTTCGTTATTTACATTATTATTCTTATAATATTGAACTGAAGAGAATACTTTTGTAAGTGTGTCTTTTTTTCTGAACTATTAATCTGGGAGACGTGTGTTCATACGAGTTTAAACAGGTATTCGTATGCAATTATTTCTTATGTAATTCTCAGTTTTATTGATTTGAAAAGAGTGAGTATAGTCATTTCACTCGTTTGCTTAAAATATTTCTTTTCACTTTTAACATATTGCACTTCTGTCGAGTGCAGTGTTGCCCAAATGCGAGACCGAGACGAGTCTTGGTCTTGCAAACTCAGTCCTAGTCATGGTCTTGGTCTTGCGCAAGAGTCTCGCAACAGTCTTGCAGTTACTTATTAGCTAATTACTATAGATATATTACTGCAATATTTTAGATAGAAGAAACCTAACTAAGCACGAATGAAAAATTAGAGGAGTTAAATGCAAAAGTATATTAGTTATACCAATTGTTAACATATAGTAACTACAATCGTAGAGTATTATAAACTATTTTTCCTTAATTTTCATTAAAAAACAACGATTTTTTTTACCAGTTCTGGTCTTGGTCTTACAACAGTTAGGCGCCCTTGGTCATGGTCTTGCAAAGTGCAAGACCAAGACCGATTTTGGTCAACACTAGTCGAGTGCTTGACCAAGGTACAGTACTTTGTCTGTCTAAGGAATTTGGTCGTCCAAGTGAGAACGTTAAGCGTTATGATTTGTTGTTTTTTAATCTTATTTTTCTAAGTGAATTTAATCTTTTGTAAATATAATAAGAGTCTTGTCTGGAATTAAAAATTGTGTCATCAGCTTTGGTAGGAGTCAAAAGTCTCGGTCATGGTAGGGCATCATGTTCGTACATGATGTGTAGTAAAGAAACTTCTTCTTCTTTGATTCTTACTATACCCCTGCCAATAATGATTGAATTTAATAAACTTCTGAGCCCTGTTGGAGGGAAAAAAATCTGTCGAAAAGGAAAGATTGGAAAATGAGATCTGTAATTTCGTTAGTCTCAAATTTTAATGAAAAATTACTGGTTAATAATTCTAAACAAACGATTTTAATTAATTATAACTTCTTCCAAATGAGATCTCCAGTTTATTAATTTATTAATTTTATTTATTTATTAATTTCGAATCTAGAGCAGTAACAAGATATTAGAAATTGTGGCTTAATTGCTATTTATGATAGTTGATTATGAAAGTAGAGTGGAGTCTTCATCATGTAACTAAAAGTAAGAAATTGGGATTGTTTAATCTATACGTTTTTTTGTGTCAATATAAGTCTAATTCTGTTATAACTTTGTTATTTAACTCATGTTATCAAGAAAAGTGTAAACTAATACAAAATTGTTTTAGATCAAATACTATACTTTCTTAGCTTAATATTGGAGGAAGTTAAAAATGTATATTAAATATCAATTTAATTTGTATTCGATATAGGTTATAGTTGTAATATCACTTTCAATCCAGAAAAGATTTTGGTTTAATACCCAATTAAGAAGACTTAACGAGAACTAAAACTAGCTCCTGAATCAGATACCACTCTTAATTCTTTTCTGGTCTGAAAACATTCCATCTTGCTTTGATATATTTCTGTAACTTCTTTTCCTTTTGCAGGTCTGGTTCAAGAACCGCAGGGCCAAGTGGAGGAAGCAGAAGCGAGAGGAGGCGGAGAGGCTGAGAAAGCTGCAAGAAGAGGCGGTAGGCCTTCAGGTACCCGTGCCCAGGGACCAGACTTCCGACTCTGAAGAAGATCTCGTCGTAGCATAGATTCATCTCAGATAGAACAAATACCTCAACGTACTCTCGTAATAACATATTTTATCAGCTGTAACAACCTGAGTAGTTCCATGTTTTCTGTTGATTTCTTACACTTTCTTATCTGGTGTGTTTTACATCAGTGTTCTTAAACGTGTATTTCGCCCTTCAGTAAGTTTCATTGAAAATGAATATTCAAATTCCTGATTATCTCCAAAATTTTAACCGCATTTAAAGTAAAAAATATATATATATTTGATCGTTAAAATACAGAATCAAATTAAATCCAAAATATTTTTAAATTAGTTTTTAGTTTATTAAAGTTAATATATTTTCATAGATATAACGACTCAATTAGCGATGATATATTTTGCAATAATATAATTCATGTAACTTAGTTGTAATATTTTCCAATAGATTTTCAACAGGCCTATTGTTTTTTCTCGTTATGTACAAAATGTTATGTTCAGGAATGTACCTCAATGCATAGGGAAATAGAATAGATTTGGTTTTTTCTGTTTTGTATATTGTACACAACTTCAATGATTTTTAACTCAACACGTTATCGTTTAGTAAATAATTAAAGTTTCATTTTATTTTCAGCAAACATAATGAAAATTATCGCGGTAACAGAAACTCAATGATAACAAAATAACTTGGGTGTTTTCGTTTTTATCCAAGCTATTTAAAATTTAAATAATAATGCCATATCCACACAAATGTTTGTGATTAAATTAAAAAATAAATATTTATTGTGGGTAATACAGAATTACTTAATCATGTTATGAAGCGAGAATCTGGCGCCCGAACATTTTGATCATGATTCCATTTGAAGCTTACTCTAACTTTCTTTTCATTAACTTAGTTTAAAAAAAAAATTGAAATGAGACTTTTATTATGATACTAATAATAAATGGGTAATATTTAATAATAATTGAGTAATAATAATTCGATAATATTTAGTTTAGGCTTACCCCTAATGATAAAATGTTTACTCTTAATCTGAAAATGGTTTAACAAACATAGAATATTTTTGCAACTAATGTAATAAACTATTTTATAATTGCATTTTATATGTTTAATTTGAAGTAATTCTGAAACTATACCTAAGAATGGTTATTTTATAGGCTTAAAACTACATATAGGCAATTTCTCTAGCCGGTTGGAGATGAAATGTTAAATTTTAATAGGAAGGATAAAACGAAAATACCCTATCATTTTAACGAATCCTGAATACATTTTTTCCTTTGTATTAATAAATAATACAAAATGTTCTCTACATTCAATTTTATCATGGAATATATTCTGTGTTTTAAAAACAATAATAACTATATAAAAAGGGACTTTCGCGCATAAAAACAATTAATTATATTAAGTTTTACTAATAAAATTTATTTCAAGCTCTTGGTGCAATAATATTCTTATCTGATCTTTTCTGATATATTGTAAAATATTCTTATTAAATTACACCTTCGTTGTAATTTTTTTTTTCCTATTAGTAAATTGTAAATAAATTAAAAAGTATTAAAAATATTGTAATATTTATTAGAAACTATGTCTTTATAAATTAATCCAAATTGAGGCAACTATCGCAAATCTTTTTCTAGTTCATTATTTATTGTAGTGATAGTTCTTTATGCCTCGTTATGAAAAAAATGTTGTGATATATTGTTTATTAAAAAGAATAAATTCTATTAAGTTGTAGTCTTAAATCATTTCTTCTTAAATAAGTTAGAAAAGAACAAGCCAAGACCATCAGAATATTCTATAGAAAAACCACTGGACTTGATTGCTCCATGCTTGAGTAATGTTTAATGTCATTATGTCTCATTCTACAATTGTTATTCATAGTTTTAGTGTTAAATATAGCTAATCGTAATAGTTATTGAATATGCACTTCTAGGTTTAAAACCAGTTACTTTTTTTTTTTACTGTTTAAGTACTTAACAAACTACATACTGTTTTTTGTTTTTTCATTCTCTCATTTAGATTAAATGATATAAGACCTGTAAATATTATGTATGTACTTATGTTATAATTAATAAATGTATAGAGAAGTTTTTAGTTCGAAATAATTTCCTAATTATTTTTAATCACCTATATCATTCTTATTAGTATTTTGTGAAAGTTTTTAACTCTAAGTATGGTTAGATGTGAAAATTGAGATTATTAGCAATTCAACTTTCATAATTATTTTAATTATTCATTAAAAATAATACATCAATACAATGTTTAAAGCTTTTTCGTACAAATCGATGTATCTTTAGAGCTTCAATAATTAATTTAAATATACCAATTTAAAACTATTAAGCTTTTAAAACTAAAAGCAATACAGCTTTACCAACGCTACACATTTTAGAAAATTGTCCGAGCTTAGATTCAACAAGGACTTCATGTCGCCTGCTAAGATATCGACAAGCCCTACAATCTGAAAATCAGAAGCAGTTACTTTAATTTCGTGAAAAAAACAATTGCTACAGACATATTTAAACAATACATCTTCATACACTTCATACACGAACTCACAACGTAAATCAGAAATAACCTATGCAGCTGTAACAACATGTTCTTTTAACAAACATTCTAACAACATACACATCTGAAACAAAAAATACAACACGATTCCTACAGACATATTGTAATGTAATTCAATAACTAATAAGGTGCCTCTAACCAATATAGTTGCACACGGCACCTGAAACATAATCAAATAAATAAATAAACCCATTAAGAAAGGATCAAATTGTTAGTAGAAAAATAATGGATGTCTGAATTTCAATTGACCTATAATTGATGACTTCTCCCGAAAGTTTAGGAAGTGTATATTTTTTTAAAGTGAAAAGTAATTTAGATTCGTTTTGCACTTTTTTTGTGTGTGGAGTATGTGAAGATGAGTCGTCATTCTCGGATATGTAACTCTCATTGGGATAAAGTCGGCCGGAGGCGACTAATTGGAGTGTTTTTGCATATAAACTAAAATATCTCAGAAACTAAAAATAGGACTTGCCTACTGTAAGAGAGGGAAATGTTCAGCATTCCACCCTCTTTATAATGAGCTATTATTCGTTATTGCATTTTAACGCGACGCGGTATTAGAGAGGTGAAAAGGGAAAAAATAGTGTCTAAAACCAAATGATAACGAATTTTATTAAAAATATGGATTAAAATATCTCAAAACAAAAAAGCAAACCTGCATACTGAAAGTGAGAGAAATGTTCAGCTTTCCTTTCTCTTTGTTATGAGCTATTTTTAATCAAAATTATATTTTGTTTTGACGCCGAGTCAGAGAGTCGGAAAGGAAAAACGGTGGCGCTAAAAATCAAATAAGAATGGCTGTTTGGACATTTGGACTAAAATATCTAAAAACCTTTCCTGGCATGGAAAATTCATGAGCTGATTTGCGGAAGTCAATAAAAATATTTTTTTTAATTAGCTACAAAAATAATAAGCAAGAACGTATGTGTTTCTATTCGATTTTCTGTTGCACTCGATAGATTTTCAACAAATTACTGACCCCCGTTACAGAAGTTTTAAAAAAAATTATTTCATATTATTAATCTTATCTTGTTGATGTTTTCATTTCTATCGTGTGGTCTAAAGCACGCACCTGATTATTTTTTTATTTACTTTTTTTAGTAAATTAAAAATCACTACATAAGTATAAACAACTTATAATTATATACAAGAGCAATTATTTAATTGAAAATAAATTAATTGAAAAAAAGTAACTGACTACGGAAACAACTCTATATGTCATAAGGTAATGTACTTTTATATCTACTTAAACATCTTGATGAATTGGCTTATATAAATATTTAAACTCACAATCAGCCAGAGTCTAGATACCTTCCACCTCTGAATAGGAAAATATATCGAAATACATCTATACATTACGAAACCTATGTAAGAAAATGGAGAATGTCGAATGATTTAACCACAGTCATATACAGCAACATGAACACACTGAACCAAACAAGTTTCAAAAAATTTGTTTTAAGTTATCTCGCAGTAGTTTCTTTATTTTTTTTTTTTTAAGTATTGACAATTTGTATTCAGCACCTACGATCACGAACCCATATTACTTAATAAGTGTAATAGTAATAATCATAAAAGGTTTAGAAAACCCGAAGATTCCTAATAATAGAATAGAAGAATCAACTTGATTCTGGGATAAAGTCTCTTGAGAATAACAATATTGTACTTGCAAATTAACATAATATTTGGCCAAAATGCATATTACAATAAAAAAAAAGGTAATAACAGAAGTATTTAAATAACTGTACAGATATATTAAAGACGTAATATGAGCAATAAGGTCCTATACTGCAAAATAGTTGCTACAAACAATAAACTATGGAATTCTAAATGAAATTTGAAATGAACGACATATTACTGTTGTTGTCATACCATTGTATTAATGAAAAAAATAATAATAAAAGAGTGGATAAATATTTACTTTAAATGATTTACATATGTACCTTAATATGTTCAAAGAATACAATAATAGTATTGTAACCATTATAAAAGTCCTATATAATCTAAATCCTAAGATGTAGATTGATCGGAGAAAATAAAAGATAATATACATATAGAGGAGATTATATACATATATAATATACATGATAAATGGCTACCCAGCGTCTGATTGAATCGTAAGAAGGAATTGGAATAAGAGGGTTTTAAATATGGATAAGGATGGTGCATGGCGGATTTTAAGTGGGATGGAATTCCAAATGGTACAATAAAGGAGCGGACAATGAAGGAGTGTTGAAATGAGGTCGATTTGTGAAAAGGGATATAAAGGTCAGAAGGACGAAATCTTGTGGAGAGGGAGTGGATAGATAACTTGAATTGAAGGAGATTGAATGCGTAGGACGGACGATGATTATAGATTATTTGGTAAAGGAATGTACCTAGGAAATATTGTCTTCTGAAGGAGGGAAATAGCCATCCTAACTCGGCGTAGTAGTGAGAAACACGAGAATGTCTCGGGGTTCCATTGACAAATCGTACGAAGCCATTCATGATTCCTTTCAGTCTGTCTCCAAGTTCCGATGAGAGGCCACAG